AGGAGTTGAACATCAGGAAACTCTTAATTGAAGGGGATTCAAAGGTGGTGATAGGGTGGCTGATTAAAGATCACAATGGCTTATGGAAGTACAATAATGAGAGGAGGAAATTCAAGTGGCTGGTGTGGGAGATGGAAGTTAAGATACATTGGGTTAAAAGATCGGCTAATTCCCTAGCTGACGGTTTAGCTAAACAAGGGGCAGAAAGGGATTCACTTTTTTGGGCTAAGTTGTAACTATAGTGTGTTTTCTTTCTTTTTTTCCTTTTACTTGAGGTTCTTTGTTTCTCTTGGAAGATAAGCGTGTTTGTCTTCCTATTGTAAATCTTCTATTGATGAATTAATGAAAGTGTTATTGATCAAAAAAAAAAAAAAAGCCCAAGGAGAGGAAATGGAGCAAAGGGATTTAAAAAAAGACGCACAAGTAAACGACCCTTTCGGAGTCAAAGTCCAAATCCTCCTATCAGAATTGAGTGGGTCCAAGCAAACAGAATCAAGTAACAATAAGAGCTCAGAAGCTGATAAGGATTCCTCATCCCTCAACCCTCTACGGAAGCCAAGGTCCCAATTTGTTCACCAAAGCAAAATTATCATTTTAAGCTCTAGATTAGTTTTACCATTAACTTGCCTCCCTTCCTACAAAAGATAAATGAATAAATAGTCAAATAAATAGAAGAACATCTCTCTTATTAGCCTAGAGCACAATGACCTGAAGGGCTATAACTCAAAACCGGAGATCCCTTTCTCCTACTCATGAGTTTGACTAGAATTTTGGTTTTAGAAGAGGTCTTTATGAATCAAAGACTTCTCTTGCTATCAGCCTGATGGAATCTTTGAAAGGGACCTTTCTAGGTAATACTATGCCTCCTTTTATGCTCTTTGGTCTGCCCCTCGTTTGGTGCTTACCCAAAGCTTGTGGTTTTTTTGTTGAGAAGCATTTCAGGAGAAAATTAACATTTGTGGTGTCCTTCAAAAGTGGAGACCCAATCGGTGCCTCTTCCAACATGTTTGTTTTCTTTGCACTATGAGTGAAGGCCCAAACTTGTTTCTTCGAATCTGTGGTGCAATTCCTGGAGCCATGGTAATTTAATGGGTTGAGCAAGGCTAGCAAAGTAATGTGGGATGTGTGTCCTGCAGTTGTTTGTTGTTGGGCAATCTGGGGTAAAAACAAAACAATCAAATGTTTGATAAGCAAGTGAGGAAATAGTGGTGGCAGGGAAAGTCAAAAGGGTTGTTGTTGTCTTGGTTGGCCTCAAATTCCTCATTTGAAGAAAGGCCTCTTTTTTTACATGGGTTTTTTATTTTGTAATTAATCAGAGGTATCTTTTTATAAATTCCCCAATGTACAGTCAGTCTCCTGTTGTACATAGGTGCTGGCTCTTTTGGTGGCATCACCCTTTCAAGGTGCTTTTGTGGAAGGTAGGCAAATTGTAGATCAAATTCTAGTGGCTAATGAATGTATTATGGAAAAGATAAGGAGAGGAGAGAGGTGTTTGGTGTGTAAAGTGGACCTAGAGAAAGCCTATGATCTAGTGAATTGGAAAGTTCTTATAGAACTACTAGAGAGGCTTGAGTTTGAAGCAAAGTGGAAACTATGGATCAAAGGGTGTGCTAGCTCTGTTCATTACTTAATTCTTATCAATGGTGTGACAAAAGACTTCTTCCTGGCTAGGCAAGGAGACCCCTTATCACCCTTCCTTTTCACCCTAGTGGCAGAGGTCCTAAGTAAAATAGTGGTGAAAGCAGATCTATGAGGCCCTTTCAAGGGGTGAAGAATTGTTAGAAATCAAGTGGTGGTCTTCCATTTCAATTTCCTGACGACACAATTCTATTCTGTGAGGATGTTATTTTAGAAATGGTGAAAATTTTGAAGATTTTGATTGATAACTCTGTAGGCCTAACTAGATTGAGGATAAATTGAAGTAAAGTCAATATTGCAGAGATCAACCTGGAAGAAAGGGAATTTCTTATGTTTGCTGAATTATTAGGGCGTGAGGTTAGAAACTAGCCTATTACTTAGGCTTGCCTTTGGGAGGGAACCCTAGAACTGATGGATTTTGGAAGTAGTGGAAGAATCACATTGATAAGAGCTGCATTGGCACCCGTTTACTTTCTCTCCACTTACCATATCCCAACTAGGATAACAGGACAACTTGAGAAATACACGAGGGACTTCCTCTAGGAACTAGGTGAGGAGAAGAAATATCACTTGGTAAAATGGGAACAAGTTAGCAAACATAAGGAAAAAGGGGGCCCGGGGCTAGGAAGCATTACCACTAGAAATACTGCTCTACTAGGTAAGTGGTTATGGAAATTCCCTTTTGAGAGAGACAAGCTATGGCACAAGGTAAGGGAAGCATTCATGGAATGGAAGGTAATGGCTAGGATGCTAAACTTTCTTCCCAGTCCTCTTCAGCTTCTCCTTAGAGAGCTATTCATGAAGTCTCCCCTATCTTTCTTAATTTCATCAGGTTTGATGTGGGAAGGGGTGATAAAGTACGGTTCTAGGAAGACTTGTGGTTAGGGGAGACTGCTCAAAGACCAATTTTCAGACCTCTTTGTTCTATCTACTTTCAAGGACGAAACTGTGTCTAGATTGGTATCACCTTCCCCAACTGGCTTAAATTGGGATTTAGGCTTCAAAAGAGGGTTAAAGGATAATGAGCACCCCTCCTTGGTCCATTTACCTGATATTTTAGGACAAGTGTTCCTAGACCCTTCCTTTGAGGATTCTAGAATTTGGTTAGTATCACCAAATGGTCTATTACTTGTTCTTCCTTCTTTAAAATCCTTGTTTTGCCTAACCCTCAAGGGGTGGACTTTCCAGTGAAAGAAATTTGGAGTAAGCCTATCCCACCTAAAATTCAAGTTTTCTACTGGGAAACTTTCCTTGGTAAGGTAAATACTTGTGACATGCTGCAGAGAAGAACTTATACCTGCTTTTCTCCTCATTGGTGTTTCTTATGCAGGTGAAGTGGTGAGATCCTTTCTCATTTACTTATCTCTTGCTCCTTTGTGTTTCAAATTTGGGAGTTTTTCTGTTCTCTTTTTGGGTGCAAGTGAGACCCCCTCAAGATGTGGTGGCATTGTTTAATCCTAACTTCTTGAGGCAATCAAAGAAAAGAAAGAAATTTCTCTGGAGAGCCACTAAAGCAGCAATTTGTTGGGTGGTTTGGGAAGAAAGGAATAACAGAATCTTCTCTGAAAATAGTAGGCCTCTAGAGGAATTGATAGACTGCATAAAATTAAAGGTGGAATTATGGGTAAAGACATTGGATAGTTTCCAAATATTCTCCATCACTGACATCCAAAGAGCCTAGACTGGAATAGCACAATCATTGAGAGAAAATGATAGGGTAAGGGTGGATTGGAAACCCCCGGAAAATAATAAAGACAAGCTGAATTTTGATGGAAGCTCAATTGGAAACCCAGGGTTAGCAGGAATAGGAGGGGTAATTAGAAATACAAAAAGGAGGATTGTAGCCTTATATTCAAGGCAAACTGGTCTAGGAAATTCATTGAAGGCTTTACTGTTGGCACTACAACAAGGTCTCTGGTTAGCAAAGCAGCTGGGTTTCAGACGGGTTGAGGTGGAAGGGGACTCAAAAGTAGTTATCTCATGGGCTAATTGCAAAAGACATACCCCCTGGGCTTTCAGACATGTGATAAGGGAAGTGGGACAGATTGGTATGGATATAGAGGCTAAATTTAAATGGGTTAGAAGAAGTGCATATGGGTTAGCTGATTCCCTTGCCAAACAAGGAGGTATGAGGCAGCAATTATTTTGGGCTACTATGTAATTGGGGTTGAAAATTGGGGATGATTTTCCTATCATCACGCTGTATTATTTAACTCTTTAATTGAATCTAATAAATAAACATATTTTCCGCTGATCAAAACAATTAAAAATATCCCATTATTTATTGGAACAGTATTCATTAGTAACTTTATTGTCTAATCAAATACAACATTTGTTACTATGTGAAATTATTTCCTTCCACTTTTAAGAGTTCGAAAACTACTTCTATGTTTTTAAATGCTAAGACCCCATGCTTGTGACCAAAAAAAAAAAAAGACCCCATGCTAAATTATAATACTTGAACAATACAGCAAAGATGCTCCTAACCTAAAAGGGCAAAAACTATTGTTGCACAAAAGCCAGGAATACAGATTTGTATGGTACAAAATAACAAAGTAAAACAGAGATTTGAGAAGCAAGAAAAGAGAAAGAAAAAGCAGAGCACACACAGATTTACGTGGTTCAGCATATAGCCTACATCCACAGAAATGGAGGAGCAGAAATCCACTATAGAAAACTGAAATGGAGGATATAATGGTTGAGCAACCTCTCTCACACAGAAAACCCTAAAACCCAATACACTCAAGCTTTTATCCTCACTTCCTTCATGCCTAACTCCTAAAGACAATGAGATACAAATATGAGAAAACCCTAAGCAACATAACATATTCAGGTTAGACCCATGAACAGAAAATGGGTCAGGTCCACACCACCTCCACAGACCTCAATGAATTTTTCCCTTCAGGTTTTTCTCCACAAATGTAGGGTTGGGTCATGGAGCGGGCCATAAAGGAGAATTCAAGGCACAACTCAGCAATTGTGCATGGAAGATATGTATTATCTTTTAAGAAACACTAGCAAGCAGTTCATTGCACATGCAACATGCTATATGGGACTTGTGAAAACCCTTCCATTAACATTCTTTTCATTGCCCCCACCTCATCTGTAGCATGTTGCATATGCATCTAAGCTTCCTGATGGCATAAGGTGTATACCTGATTACATTAATGCTCTATATAATCAAATAACCATATGTCAAATTTAGGAAAAAAAAAAAGATGTAGGACCAAGACCAACATGTCTCTTGATAGAGTATAATGGCAAGACTAGATTCATGTATACGACCACAAAAAGTTGGGAATAAGGCTTTGTTGAGTTAAGGGGGTTCTAATACTATCCATGGTATACTTTTGCCAGCATACCTGTTGCACAAACTCTTGTTCAATAGATCGGCCTGCTGCAGCTTCTTGCTCTGCTGCCATTTTCCATCTTGCAATCTCTTCTTCAGCAGCTGCAATGTCCATCATAAGCCCTTCAATCTGTGATAAAAAATAAGTTCATTCAACACAAGTATGAATGAATGATAGTACAATGCTCAATTGTGAGTCTTTCTGGATCAATTTAATATATATTGAAGAGAGATAAGCATTTAATACCCTTCTTTGGAACTTATTCAAGTTAACCTAGAAATGACCAATTAAAACAAGGGAAGAGAAGTATGTGCATAAATAAATACAAAGGCATCAACATATACATGCATGCATTAATGTATATATATTTATGCATGGGAAATATCTGAAAAGGAAAATACAGTTCCATTTTTCTAATGAAAGCAACATAATTTAGAACTAACATCTTAATGAAAGCTTTTTTTTTTAATTTTAGTTACTAGTTTGGGTCGTCAGAGTACTGGGCAATTAGGAAGGAACATGTTCAAAAAAACGAAAAAACGAGTGTAGCTCAGATGAGGATGTTAAAATGGATGGGAGGCAAGACTACAAAGGATAGATTCATAAATGGATGCATCTTCCAAGACCTAGGAGTAGCTTCAATTAATGACAAGATGAAGCAAAGTCAACTGAGATAGTATGATCGCGTACATAGATAACAAATGACTGCACCATTGAGAAGAAGTAAATTGGTGCAAATAAAAGGTTCTAAAAGAGAGGGAAGACCATAGAAAATGTGGCCTAAAATGGGAAAATAATTTTAAAACATAATTTGAAAGAAAACATGGATCTTGATAGAGAAAAATGGCAGGACAGGATTTGTGTGCCCAGCCCACAATAATTGGAATTAAAGCTGAGTTGAGTGGGGTTAGTTACTACTTCCACCTTTCTTGTTTGTTCTCCACTTTATTTGAGCCATACATCTCTCCTCCAACCGTACAACTTTCTACCTTTGACAACAGAGATTGAGGCTGCAACTGCATTGACCAAAATCACTTAGAATTTCAATCATTCAGCAATTGATTTTACACCTACACTTCCAACCACTGCCACTCCTATTTCCTTTGCTTTCTAAGGGATTTTAACAACCAAAAATTGAACCATTGAGTCCAACAAGGATAAGGACCCACCACCATTTTCCCCTAGAAATACTCATGTCTGCCCCCTCTCTTGCTCTCAGACCTAATGGTAATTAGAAACAACAATAGTTGGTGACCAGATTACAAGGTTGTTTTATTTCTCTTACTCTCTAATCCCTCCCTTCACTGTTTCACAAACCCTCCATTTCCCATATTTTTTGGTTTAATATGTTGGTCGTTACATTTTTAATTATTTTTTTATGGCTGATGGAGGATCAACAACATGTAATGCCCAGACAGGCGTGCCCTAGCCCCCCCAACTTGTTTTATGATTACTTTTTTCATTAATCAAGATGGGCAACATTGAAGTAGTGGTTGGAAAAATCAGAGTTCCAATGGCTTTGAAATTCAGTTGATTCCTAGCAAAAAAATCCCAGAAACCTCAAACTAATGAACCTAGCCATGCTGGCCAATAACACTTGGCATGCCAAAACACTGATGATGTTTCATGGTAGCACTTAACTGTTCTAGACAATGTGCAATATATTAGAAATATCGAATAAATTGCCATACTTAAATTTCTGGAGTTTTCTTTGAATAGTTTTTCTATTTGTTCAACTATTTATTTATTTGAAAATACTTATTTATGACCGCATCCTAATGTCATGATTTCTAGAGGCTGTATGTTCTGAAGCCTAATAAACCTAGCACCTATGCCATGTACCAAGGAAACACTGCTCTCAACTACAATTCTACCTAACTCTCTATTATCTAATGATGACGCGATATCTTTTGCACTTGATTTGATTGAATTAAAACAACCAAGCCAATCTAACTAGTCTTAGCAGTAGATGAATGGGACAGAAAAGCAGTGATAGCATCACTATATCCATTAAAAGAGTCTCAACTATTCAGTGGAAAGAGAGATCCAATGAAAGGGGAGGAGGAAGAAAAGGCTAAAAGATAATGGACCCTTGTTTATCTAAATAGAAGACATTACCACCAACAAGAGCAGTTCTTTCCATAAAAAGGGACCATGCTATCCATATTAGAAGATGCTGTTAATAGGTACAGTTTTCTGGCAAATAACTTACACTTTCATTTGCAACTCTCTCCTTTTCTTCCAGTTCTTCTATGCGATGCTTTCTTTGACTGAGCTCCTTGGTTTGAACCTCCATATGTGATTTAAGTAGACTTGACTCTGCCCTTAATCCAGTAAAGTATTATGCAAAACAAAATATTTTTAATGTCAAAGCACTAATCACAATGAGAGGTATATTAGTATCATTAAACAAACAGCAAACAAATATATATATTTTCCATCTTGCTCAGTCAACCAAGCATATGAGTGCTGCTACCAATACTCAGATTTCAAAAACCCATCTTCACCCACAGACCAACAAACATTGTGTCACTTGCATACTCCAAAAACAAGTAATGAGAATGTGATTCCACTTCCTAATATCACAACGCTTTCCTATATGGTCATCTTTAATTATTTGCATGCAATATATACTTCAAAAGAATATCCAAGGTACCTAAGTTCATCCACAGAATGCCTTAGCTCAATAATCTCCTGCTGAGACTCCTTAACTATATTCTCCAAAGCACCAGCCTATATACAATGCAAATAACAAATTTCAAAATTGGAGAAAACATAAGGAATTAAAAGCTGAGTAGGCACCACTTGTAAGACATAGTTTAAGCACTGACAATGGTAACAGCTTACCAGAGTATAGACTTCATCGTCCTCTACCTCCACAAAACCTAGTTTATCATGGGAAGCTGGTTTCTCACCATTCACAAAGAGATTACCAAATCTGAAGTCCACCCCTGCCTCTTTCAAACCATTTTCTGCAACTTGTAGAACCTCAGTCATTTTGGATGATGGATCTGATATCATCCTTCTTGATAGAGCACCTCTAAGTAATGATCCAATATGTTGTTTCTCCTTCACCAACCCATCAACAGTCTCATTTAGACCTTTCACTTCACGACTCCTCTCATCCATTTCATCCCTTATCTTTTCTGCAGCTATTTTAGTCAACACATAAATGGATTCCATGCCAGCCAGAGAAGCATGTAAATTCTCAGTCATGTCCATTTCTTGCGGAAGGAACAAGGACTCTGACAAGTCCAACTGATCTGATTTATTAGCATCAACCATCTTAATAACATCATAAATCTGGTCATGAATTTTTGATACATAATTCAATTGGTCAGCCAGTAAGGGCTTCTGTGAGTCCATTTTCGATTCCATGCTCCTCAACTTAAAGTCATATTCCTTAACCATCTCCCTAAGCTCCGTTGATTCTCTCTCCAATTCATTTATCCTTTCAGACATCTCTTTATCCATTTCCAATATCTTTGTGTCTTTCTCAGCCAATGATTTGGCCAAGTTCTCAACTTCAGATGTTTTCTTCGCAATCTCCTGCCTCAAACCACTAATTGTTGCTTCAAGTTGAGAAACTTCAATTGCAATTTCATAATTTCGATGTTCCATCTGTTCACGAGCATCATTCCTAGACTTTATTGCCGTGTCAAGCTGCCTCAAAAGCTCTTCAACAATTTCATTACTTCTCTTGATAATGCCATAAGCAACAGTTGGCAATCCGGTGTACTTCTGAGATCTCGGGAGCCCGGTCCCGGAGAAATTTTTGAAATTACTAACCTTTCCAGAGATCTTCTCTATCCCAGTGACAAGCAACTGAGCAGCAACTTCGATCTCCGATCTTGACGAGTCCCTTGCTTTAACCGCTTCATCAAGTTGCCGCGCAGCGTCATCTCTCTGCTTTAAAAGCTCATCCTTGAGCCTCAGAGCCTCCGTTAATTCCCCTGATATCTTCTCATTCGATCTCAAAGCGTTCTCCTTTTCACGCAATGCTTCGTCCCTCTGCCTGCCACTCTCATCTCGCTTTTTTATTGCCTCATGAGTGAGCACCTTCAAGCGATTGAACGAGACCTCCGCAGCTTCTCTAGCTTTACGCTCGCGCTCGAGTTCCGCAAGAATCTCTCTAAATCTCTCAACGGATATGTCCTCTTGAGGCGGTTTGTCGAGGATGGAAGGAACCGGATCGTCCCCTTCAACATCGCTGAGAACCGCGTCGGCGTCTTCATCACCGGCGCTCGCCATTTCATTAAACAGGTCACTAGTGTCGTCCGATCAAATATAAATCCATCTTAGCTAAGAGAATTCTCCAATTAAAATATAAACAGGGGCTCTTCTCTTATATCTATTATCAATTTCTCTATAATAGACGTAAGAAACAAAAACCTAAAGTTGGAATTCGAATAAGAAATGTCCAAGAAACTGCGTTGTGATCGGAATCTGACAAAACGATGCCGGAAATTCGATTGTTATATAAAGAAATTCAGATTACAGAAGATAATGGATAAGAGACCCGGCTGAGTCTAATCTAAACTTGTAACTCTTTATCGCGTACCGTAGAGGGAAAGGTTGGAGCGGAAAAGAGCGCAGAAGAGAAGAAGAACAATAGCTACCAACCAGTCTCCGTCTCCCACTTCTATTTTTCATCTTGATTTGAGGAGTAATTGTTGGGCACATCTCAATCTTAATAACAAATGTGATAAAAGACAAAAACACCCTAAAATATTGTGGCCTTTTATTCTCTCAATGGATGGCTTTTTTGTCTTTTCACTGCCTGGATCTGGGATCTCCTCTCCCTGCTTACCTACCATCCTGCCCACATTACGTATATGTTAAATTGATATAAAGATGTTCGTAATGGGCGTTTGTTTCATGGTTTTCAAAACCGGACAGGTTGATGAGGGAATGGTGCAATCGATTTTGTTTCACCCTAATAGTAAGGCAATCGATTCTGTTTCACCCTAAAATCTTTGTGGAAAAAAAAAGGATTATAGTCGGTAAGGCAACTTTTGGGCTCTAATATTAATAAAAATAATAATTTAATAAAATTTAAAAATAATATTAAAAAAGGGCAAAAAGACTATTCATCATCTTTCTCTTACATATCATTCATCAGCGTTGTTGCCTATCTCCACTGCTTCCGTCTACCTCTAGTAACGCCTCCGCCCACCTCTGCCTAATGCTGCCATTTCTGCCTCCACCTTCAAAGGTTCTTAGAGTGACACTGCAAAAGCCCAAAAGCCCCTAGTCAAAGGAAGGTCCTAGTATGTGCTTCTCGTTACTGGATTGAGTACCAAGTGAGGAAGAAGTTGTTGTATGGGGTCTCCCAGGAGCCTTCGTTCTCCTTGAATAAGGTGTTGGCAAAGGGTGACTGGTCATAGTTGGGGACGTCATGGGGTCCTGAGAGGCCCCAGAAGGGGTTTCCGGTCGTCTAGGCGTGTTCCTATAGATGCTTTAGCATGTTTTTGTTGTAGTTCTGGAATTCTCTTGCTCCTGTAATCTTGCCACCTCTTGCCGACGGCCGAGAAGGGTACTAGAGCTCTCCATCCGGTCCTAGACTCATTGAAACATCTTGAGGAGATCACAGAAAAAGCAACCATTGATAAGAATCGGTTCTAGCAAATAAATAAATGAGATGGGTTGTGATGATGCACAATCTGGCCGGTCTTAGCTGTCGATGATCTTGCCTCTGAACTGAGTAACAGGGACCTGAAACGGAAGGAGAAGAGAAGCTCCGGGGAGAACCC